CTGTGTGCTAGTCCACAGATAAAGGACATTAAGAAAGCTTTAGCGACAATGAAATGCACAATGCAAATTAGACATTTATTTTTTAAACTCCCCGTGATAGAAAATCTTGTTTTTCCCTCCTTCTTCCCCCACAATAGAAATAGCACCCAAAAGGGAAATTGGTGACACCTGTGGCACTGCTGGTGCTGTCAGTACTCTTATGGACCCTTTCATGTGTTGCAGATAATTGAATATTTACGTCTTGTTTTATTTGACGTTATGTCACCTTGTTTACACTATGATCTGGGATGATTATCACACAAACATTGCCTTTCACCACCCTGAGACCGAGTTTTTTTTTTAGTCAATAAAATTTGGAAAAGATATCCCATGTCCAATAGAATGACGATTGTACTTAATTTACAAAGATGTAAATTTGTGGTGGCTGACTGCCTTCGGATATGACCTCCCCTGGCTTTATGGAATTAAGCTTTGACTGTGTGTGCATTCTTTTGATTTCACTATGTGGCAATGCAGAATCTTGCAGATATTATGAACACAGGAAGATAAGGCAGTAGAAAATGCCTTGAGATTGAGAACTAGGTTTTTGTCTAGGCTTTGTTGTCAAATTGCTGTGTGGCCTTGGGAAAAGCATTGTACCTTTCTGAACTTCAGCTTTTCTGTACTATACCTTGGAGATTTTGAACTGTGTGGTGGTTAAGAACCACTCTGATGTTCTTCGTAATTCCTGGGGCAGATTTTCTTTGAAGCCAGGGCTTCTCTCAAAATGTTTTAACAGTACTTCCTCCAGTTTATGAGCTTCTGCTGTGTGGCATGACGGGCTGACTCTAGTTATTGAAGAATGCCGTCCCCCAATTTAATTATCTCGGGGCATCACCACTGCAAAGGATGAAATGAGTCATTTTGTTCAGGGCATCTGCAGCCTTTGCTGAAATGGAGGTTATGGGATAACAACTTAAAGGCTAACTCATTAATGCTCAGAGATGAATGAGGTAATGTGTCAGCAGACCAAATTGGCGCCCAAATGTTTTCATCTAGCGCCCTAGATCTCTGTCCCACATTGTGATGTATTAACGGGGATGTCTTTATCCATTGTCACTGCCTACAGACCTGAATCACGTGCACGCATACCCTCTAGGCTCCCATCCCCAAGCTACTATGAATTTCTTAACTCCTAGGTACTCTCAGTATCTAGAAGCAAAATTCTGCAGAGGCCATAAAGTGGCTAATACATAAGGATTCCAACCAAGGCATCAGTGTACTCCCTGCTTCCCCTCCCCCCCTCTCTCAGGTGCTTACTACTGAGCCTTGCACCAATGCTAACTATTTGATGAGGGCAGTGGAGGAAATTGTGCCTCCAGATTGTGAATGTTGTGGATTTATGCCTAGCTGAGAGCATTTTTGTCCTCATAATTTGAAGTGGGTGACCTTTCTAATGTTAATTTGTTTCTCTGTCTGTGCCATGCATTCAGGAGGACATGAAGAATGTACTTGATGCCACCCAAGGGTGTTTCTTCTTTTTTGTATGACTTGAAACATGGTTTAGGTGTCCTTCTGACTGTGTTCAAATACTCCTGCTTGATATCCATGTGTTCCTTTTCTAGTAACAATGTTAAAAAGAATGATTTGAAAGAGAAATTGATTTACTCATCTAAATAGTAACATATGAAATATTGAATTATGAAGCTAGCTTTTGCTAATTTCATAAAATGATTTAAAAATTACCCCCAATGAAATTCAAGAGTGAACAACTGTCTATTGTTAATAGTTCACTAAATCTTCTTGCTTGCCTAATTTAATTAAAATTTTGTAGAAATTGAACAGAGTAGGTTGTTCCATACTTTTGACACAGATTTTGAATTTATGTAATCACTTTTTTGTGTGTGCCAGTCTTAGGGCTTGAACTCAGGATCTCCCACTTTCAATTAGCTTTTTGTTCAAGGTTGGCACTCTGCCACTTGAGCCACCGCTCCCCTTCCAGCTTTTTGCTGGCCAATTGAAGATCGAGTGTCTTACTCTCAGATTTCTTTTCTCGAGCTGGCATTGAACCAGGATCCTCAGATCTCAGCATCCTGAGTAACTAGGAATACATGCATCTGGCATCTGATAAAATTACGTTGAAAGCTAAAACGTACTAATAACCCCAGGCCTTGCAGTATTAAGTTATTTATTAAAACCACTGCTACTTATTACATATGCATTATTCATTCACTTCTCACACAACAGAAGTGTGTGCTATGATATTTCTCTATTTTACAGAGTAGGCCGAGACTCAGAGAATTCAGCTGAGAAGTCATCAGGTTTGGCTTTGAACTCAGTGTTCACTGCAAAGAGTTGCCTGAAGAAATTCTTTGGCCAATGTGTTTTTAGATTGAAGTTGTGCTGGTTTGCTTTCTCATTCCTCCTGGAGGATATTTTACATGCGTGGGCACTTCAGCCTAGTGCCATATAATTCTGAGGAACATGGGAAGACACTGACCCAACAGAGATCTCATAGCCCTGCATGCCTTGTGCTGAGTCTTCTTTTGCATTGTTTATAAAGTTAGGCCCAAGGACAAGTACACTTCTCAAATCTCTGCTTTTTCACCCATCTCCATGTTACCAATTTGTTTCTTGGCTAGGCACACTGATCTTGCCAGCTTTGCTTCTGTCTGTGTCCTCCTGCTGCTTTGACTGAGCCCAAGGCAAGCAAGGCAGTATCAGTTTTGCTGGCAAAACTGTAGCATATGACTGCTCTTAAGTTTAGCCCTGTGTCTGCAAGCAGAGAGGCAATGACAAACGGTTTATTCTAAGGCCTTTGATTTCCTTCAGAATTGTAAGCATCTAGGCTGACTCATCTCTCAAAGGTCTCTCTCTTTCTCTCTTTCTATTCTTTATGGGCTAGTGTTGCTTTGAGCTTTTATTGTTTGTTCATACTTTATGGGGGGGGGGCTGATTCTCAGCTCTCCTCTTCGGGCAACTAGATCTGGTAAGCAAGAAAATATATAGCTGACATTCCAAGATAGGTACAAATTGTCTGGGTTGTAGCAAAGGGAAAGGGACAGTGATATTAGAAAAATTAAGCATCTACCACCTTTCTGTCAAAAACACATTATCTGATCTTTGAAATTTAAGCCCCTCTCCAACTAAATCACAGAACATAAGTGCAAAATTCCATGTGGAAAGAAAGTTCAGAAAAGTGGTACATGGTTATTTCCTCTTTTGACAAAAGGTTTGTTTCCCTATGTCCCAAATTATCTTTTCTGTCAGAAACCAGCACACACACATTTATCCAAACCAGAAGCTTGAGAGCTATCCTAAATTCTTTCTTTTTCATCACAATTATTTTCCCCTACTTCCTATCATTTCTATTCAGTGACCTGACTTGTATCAGTATGCCTTGCCTCTTGGCTGATCTACCTGCTTCAGGCTTTCTGTCCAAACTAGATTTTCATGACTGATTTTTCCAAGGCACAACTCTGTCATTCCCTGCCTGAAATCCTACATTAGCTCTGTGTTGTCTTCAGAAGGTCCAACTCTTTCACGTGGCTTATTGGACCATTCATGATTTCATCTCTGCCCATTCATATTTTTATCTCCTCCAATTCATTTATATTGCTTCAAGAGGATGACAACCTCTCTTCCTTTTCTTTCTCTCTGCACAAGCTGCCACTTCTCTCCCTCCTCCTCTCCCTTCTTCCTTCTCTTTCTCTCTCTCAACTGTCTCTCCTCTCTGTCTCCAGGCAGACTTAAATGTTTCTCTTTTCTGCTCTTACAGTACTTTGTTTATATCTAGGCCTACTGACTTATCACAGGCTTTGGTAAATTGTTACTAACTTGTGTATCTCCTTTACTACCCTGTAAAAAAAAATCTATCAATACAGAACCCCCCTTTAAATTAGTGGCTGAAAGAACAAATGGGGAACAGAAAATGTGCAGGAAAGGATGCTATGTAGGGTGTATATGGGGGGGATCCCTCACTGGGCAACCTGTGATGACCATGGAAAAGACCAGATAAAACTGCCTTGCCATTACAGTGAAACAGACTTCCCTTTGCTCACTAATTCTCACTAGAAATGGTCAAGAGATGATATCTGTTTGTTTTGGTACAAGTTGGTTGTTTTATGAAATCTAATTCAATGAGGATGCAATGCTTTTTGATAAAGCAAAAGCAAAAAGCAAATAACATACTACCACTTAATACAGAGGTTGTTAGCATTTGCATGGATTTCCCCTCAATCTTTTATTTATATATGTATGCTTTCTTCACATAGTTGTAATTACAAGTCAATTCCATTTTGTATGTCTTGTCAAAAAGCACTTTGTAAACATTATTAGTGACTGTATAATTTTCCATACTATGTGCATTACCTAATTTATGTAATTAACTTCATTGCTAGGCTAGCTTTTTACCCCTTTACTTTTTACTGTTATGGTTCATGTGATTTTTTTTTTTCTGTCTGTAGGAAGACATCATTAGGATAGATTCCTAGAAGGGGAATTACTGGGTCAGAGGACTTGTGGAGGACTTGTCTGTAGATCCATATGTGCAGTTTGTGTTTGGGAAGACTTACATAAATTTACAAAAAAACCTCCCAAAATCAAAAACAAAAACAAATCCCCCAAACAAACAACTGAAACCGTCTTTTTTAACCCAGATCATGTTGAATATCATCATGAAAAAAAAATACCAACGGACACAAATCTCAACCAGTCTTCTAGTTAATTAGTAGAAAATAGTGTTTTATTCTTGTCTGAAAGTGTTTTTTTTAAATTGGAAGGTTTGTTTTTCTTTTATCTTTTTCCCCCTTTTTTCATAATTAGGTTTCCTCTTTTCTGGACTATCTGTTCAGAGCTGATTTTTTTAAGTTGAATTTTTTTTTAAAGAAGCTACCAGAGGCAGCTCTGCTTGAGGGTGAAGCCACCTCCCAGTTTTCCCTCCCCTTCTACCCCCCATAGTTCCCTCCACCAGGTCCAGTGACAATTGGATGATGCAGCCCTGATAATCATGCGGCTCCAGAATGGGTGGCTGCATTCCTTTTCTGAAGGAAGCAAGGACATGGTGTCCCAGAATCATGCCCCCTTTACTGTTGTTGTCTGCCTTAATTTTTTTAGTGAGTGTGCTGGGAGGAGCCCCAAGGCACAACTCGGACTGCCGGACAAAGATGGTATCAATACACAGCCTCTCTGAGCTGGAGCGTCTGAAGCTGGAAGAGGCTGCTTACCACGAACTCGTGGCCAGACATTTCCTCTCTGAATTCAAACCGGACAGAGGTGAGCTATACCCCGGAGTGTGGCGTCCTCGCCTTCGGGCGAGTAGACCCCCCGGGAGGGACGGGACAGGTTAGGGGATCCAGGAAAGGGTAAAAGGGGCTCAAGCCCCGACTCAGACCTAGTCCGATCTCCACGCGCTTGGGGGGGGGGGACCGAGAAAGCGAGAGTTGAAGGCTGTTGAATTGCAAAAGAGGAAAAAAAATTAGTTCCCCTCGGTCGAAGTCTGAAGGGTTAAGGGGGGCATTAAGACCGGCAAATGTCAGGGACAGACAAGTGGACAGCGGACGGGTGGAGAGATAGGCGCACCAGGTGCCGTGTGAAAATCGGGACGAGCGCGACGGAGACGCACAGGGACACTCTTGAGAGAGGACTGGGACCGACAGAGATTGATGACACAGAGAGAGAGCGAGAGCGAGAGCGAGCGAGCGAGCGAGAGAGATAGAGACGGTGAGAGAGATGCGCGCCAAGCCAGCAAAGAGCGGGAGGGCGGTGCGGGCACGGGGTTTGGCGGCGGGAGGTGCGCAGTGAGCGCTACCTACTTGGACTGGCTGCGGCGAACCCGGGGGGACGCGGCTCCGAGTTCGAGCGCATCAAGGGATCTCAGGGGTATGCGGGTCGATTTGGCTGCAGAGTCAAGGGGAGGTGGGAGGGGGTTCGCGCGGACTGAGGGGAGCCCCCAGTAGGACTGGAAAGTGCAGAGTGGGGGGCTGGGGGGCTGCAGGTTTGCTAGGTGCGCACCACTGGCGCAGCCTAAAGTGAGTGAAGCAAAGGGTGCGGAGACCCCGCCGGGCAGCCACGGTGGCTGCGGGATTTGGAGCGAGGGGCGTAGGGGGGGGCGGAGAGTGAGGTGTCGCTGCTGTTCCCACCGCAGCGTGAGGAGCCGACGGCAACCTGAGCGTGAGCGCGCGCCCGCAGTAACTTGGCGACCCTTACCCACGGTGGCGCTGCAGGCAGAGCCCCTCCCCTCGCCTGTTGCATGATTCGGACGCCTCAGAGCCCCTGAAATTGTTTTAAGTGTTCGGTTGAGACTACTGGTGCGCAGAGAGATGCGCTCCCAGCGCCTTAGACTGGTTTGGTTCAATTCTTGGTATCTTACATATGTTCTATAGATAGGATCGGCTCTGTAGTCAGACGGGGAAACTGAGTCTGGGAGAGAAAATGCATTTCCCCCTTCGCTCCACCGGGTGAGCGCGGAGCCCCCCCCACCTTCTCGCCCACGCTGCAGATTAATGCATCACGATGTTTTCATCACTTATCAAGGGTTATTGGTGTGCGAGTGTGCGTGTCTTTTCTTTCTGCTTTGTAGCTGAGCCCACAGACCGTCCAAAAACCTTGGAGAAGTTGCTTCTGATTTTGAGAGGACAAGAAAGGGGTAAGGGGCTGTTTTGCTGGATTTTTTTTTAGGAAAGGACTAGAATGATGACACCCCCCTTCCCCCTCCCCCCCCCCATTGCGTAGGATGCTCCTGGTTAGTGGAGATTGGGCGGTGCCCAATGCCCCTGAAGTCACTCCCCTCTCTCCCAGAAACCCCTCAGGGGGTGTTAGCAGGAAGTGGCGCAGTTAGCTAAAAGCGCAGTGGGGGCGGTCCTCTCAGACGTGCCTGAGCCTTCCTGGGGGACCCATCCCAGACAGATAGGAGTGAAGACATCTCTCTCATCGCTTCTGGCAGAACTTAAGGCAGGGGATCTTGAGCCCCGTCGGGGTAGTGGAGTAGAGCTGAATCCTTTGCCTAATCACTGCAGAGGGTCTTTGGGACTTGCTCCACATAGGAGGGGCGCTGTGGGTCTGGAGGGGTGACGTGACTGCGGGTGGCTGTTTAGAGGGAGTGCGATAGCCCCTCCAATTTCTTTCTGATTCTAGCGCTGCGGGGTTTTGACGGTTCTCTCTTCTTTCTCTGGCTTCTCCTCGGTAGCTCTGAAAACCTTTGGCATTCGCCTGGAAGAGGTGCTGGTGAATGAGCTTACCCGCCGCAAGCTGCTGGAATTGACAGCCATGGCGCAGAATGAAGAGACCACCAGCGCGCCTGCAGGCCCTCGTCGTCGTCGTCGGGGAAACGTGATGCAAAGATTATTTGGACGCATCAGGCGCTTCTTCCGTCGCAGACGGAATACGCCCACCTTGCCCCCGGAGTTCACCCGCCGTGGGCGTCGAGTGAGTTAAAACCTTCTAGGGGTCAGTGAGAGATTCTTTCTGAAGATGTGCAATAATGTCAGGAGACAGGGAGGGTGTCGGCATGTGTCCTCATGGGGCGGGGGAGGGGAGGGGACCAAGACATGTTGGAATGGTGGGCTTCTTAGTGTCGTCTTATGCTCCTTAGATTCCAAGGGACCTTCCTCTCTTCTGTGTAAAACCCTTTGGGCTTCTCCACAGGGTGCGGTATGTTTGGAGAGCCTGGCTGAGCTGGAGGATGGGGCCTTGCTGCTGCAGACCCTGCAGCTCTCCAAGGCTTCATTTCCCATTGGCCAGCGACTTCTGGCATGCAAAGAGAAGATGGGCCTCAATCCTATTGCGAAGCAAATCCCACAGGTGGTTGAGGCTTGCTGCAAATTCATTGAGGAACATGGTAAGGGAGCCACAACTGGTTAAATTAAAGGGAAAGGAGGGGATGTTGAAAGATAAGAGAAAGGTGGTAGGGATGAAAGGTTTGGTTAACAGTCCTCGGATACCAATGGAGTTAGGGATGCATCTCCTTAGGGGTACAGGGGAAATGCCCTAGGAAAATGCCTCAGAAATGCATAGGATCCTCTGGTCTTTTCTTTCAGGTTCAAAGACATTAGGGATTTTCACTGCTGAACATTCCTTGCAGCGAGTGCTGGAGGTAAACTGACTATCTGTACATGTTCCTTGAGTAACCAAAAAACAGAGGTGGGTCCTTCCTTATAAACCTGAAGGTAATGTTATGAGCAGTGTGTATAGGGGAAGCAAGGTCTTCTTTTAAGCTCCCCAGACACACCATCTTGCCAGCTACCTCTACTCAAGCCTAGGCCTTATTGAAGGAATGACCAAAATGGAGATTTCATGGTGGGAAGGGCAAACAGTTCACATCTTCTCTTCTTTTTTTTAGCTCCGTGAGGAATTTGAACAAGGTATGGACATAGTACTGGATGACAATCAAAATGTACATGATGTGGCTGCCCTGTTGAAGGGTTTTTTATGTGACATGAAGGACTCCTTGCTGCCAGATGATCTGCACATGTCTTTTCTTCTGACAGCAAGTGAGTGTTCTGCACAATCTTCTTGCACATTGAGAGGAAATAGCATAGATATCTAGAGGGTCTATTGTCAGCTCAGGTTGCAAGATCTAAGATACCCCCAGTAAAAACACAGACAGTCCAACCCCCCAAAAAAGAAAAATGGTAAAGATAAAACATCTCTCTAGTTGAAAATAATCATTTTATCATTTCATAATTACCATAAAAGTTTTAATAAAAACATTCTCTGGATTACTTTTGATATTCCTTGATGTTCCTTTAATTTTATGGATTGGAAATTCCAGCTTCAGTCATGTACACTTCGGATAGTAGTGGGGGTGGGGGTTCTTCTTGCTTCAAAGTCTCCTAAAGTCAAATGTTCTAGAAGCAAGCAAAGATAAATTGCTTAGGTACCTTTTCCATAGCTAATAAGAGTTTTGAAGCAGGAACTTGTTTCCTTAACATGAAGCCACTACCCCTCTGAGCCATCCTTATTTTCCTTCTCTAGCTCTGAAACCAGAGGATCAGCTTTCTGCCTTGCAGCTGTTGGTTTACTTGATGCCACCTTGCAACAGTGACACTCTGGAGTGTCTGCTGAAGGCCTTGCATAAAATCACTGAAAACTGCGAGGATTCCATTGGCCTTGATGGAAGCTTGGTAAAAAAAAAAATACATGGGAAATAGTAGTGAAAACTTCAGTAGGGGACCTGTGAGGGAGAATATAAGCCAGTATATGGGATGGGTAGGATAAAGAAAAATTCAAGAGAAGTAAAAGACACACATCTATTGTACAACTTTCAATATTATCTCAAGGTTGATTACTTTCTGTCTTCTTTTATCTAGGTTCCAGGCAATCGCATGACTTCTAACAACTTGGCCTTGGTGTTTGGATCTGCTCTTCTAAAAAAGGGCAAGTTTGGCAAGAGAGAAGCCAGGAAAACAAAGCTGGGAATTGACCACTATGTTGCTTCTGTCAATGTGGTCCGTGCCATGATTGATAACTGGGATGTCTTGTTCCAGGCAAGTGGGATTTTTGGGTACATTTGTTTTACACTCTTCTTTTGTTCATAAGGTAAGGGAGAGTTGCACGAAGGTAACCTGAACAAGTAGCTTCTAATTTCCCCACTCCAGAAATTCTTCTTTGCTTAGCGGTCACGTCACAGATGAGTATAAATGAAAGGGCTCTGTGAAATAAAAAAAATGTTAATTTTACCCTCAGGTGCCACCTCATATTCAAAAGCAGGTTGAGAAGCGCATGGGGAAGTCCAGTCCTGAAGCCCTGGACTTTATCAGACGCAGGAATTTGAGGAAGATCCAGTGCGTATTTTTTCTATTTATTTATGCATAGTCCAAAGTACATTCTCCTATGAGGGTTGATGTTAATAATTCCAGGTATGAACTGATGTACCTTTTCAAACACTTTCCTATTCAGGAGTGCACGCATAAAGATGGAAGAGGATGCTTTGGTGTCTGATCCAGTGGAAAACTCTGCTGAAGCTGAGGCTGCTATTCTTGCCCAAAGCATGCCTTTTGATGAAGGTAAGTTCCCTACTGAGAGTCAGGCCCCTGCTGAAAGTCATATCTTTCCAGAGGATCAGATCTTTGCTGAAGATGAGCCCCTTGAAGAAGATAAGTCCTCTGAGAGAGAGAGAGAGAGAGAGATAGCCAATGAAGAACTGGTATTTGAACATCTCAGTAAAGGAAGTCGTGTGGGAAACTTCAAGGTTATGAGTTCCTTAAATAACCTTGATATTCAAGGTCCACATTCTGAGGGCATATCAGAGCTTGATGACTATGATGCTAATGATAACCCCCTGAATTTTGACAATCTTCCTTCCCTTGAGAATATTCCAGAACCTGATTATGTAATTGCAAATCTCATTTGACAGCCCAGAATTTCACTCAATGTCTTATTTTTATATGGTTTCAGGTCCTGAAGAAGCACCAGATTCACCAGAAGCTGTGAATGCTGGAGAAAACCTGAACCCTGACTTTGAGGATGAACCGGATTTTGAAGATTACCAAAATTTTGACCTGGCAGAAGTTCCCTATCTTGATGTTGTCCCTAACAATGAAGATGCTTCGGATGCTGATGAAATACCAGGTAATGAAGAAGCCCCCAGTATTAATGAAATTCCAGACAATATAGATGCCTCTGATAATGATGAACCCCAGGATTCTGAAGAAAATCCCAGTATTGACGAGATCCTAGCTGCTGGTGAGGTCCCAAATCATGAAGAGATTCCAGTGCCTGAACCATCTCCAGAGGTCAATGGAGTTTTAGACTCTGAAGATGACCTTGATTTTGAAGCAGTCCCAGCTCTTCATGTGGTCCCAAGTCCTGAAGAAGCCCCACCAGGACATGCAATCCCAAATCATGAAGAATCCCCAGAGATAAATGGACTCTCACACTCTGAGGATGATCCCAGTCTTGACGAGTTGCCAGTTTTTGCTGGCATTCCAAATGGTGAAGAAACTTCAGATGCTGAAGAAATCCCAAATCATGAAGAATCTCCAGAAGTCTTTGGAAGTGTGGCCTCTGAAGAAGACCCCAACCCTGAAGAGGTCCCGGCTCTTCATGTGATCACAAGTCCCGAAGCACTATCTGATTTTGATGAAATTACAGGTCAGGAAGAGCCATCAGAGGTGGGTGAATCCCAAAACAATGAAGAATCCTTTGATGAGGAAGAAATACCAGAACCTGAAGAAGATTCTGCTTCTGATGTCACTGACAACGAAGCCTCTGAAGAAAGTTTAAATCCTGAGAAAGATGCAGTTCTCAGTGTGGTGCCTGATTCTGAGAATTCTCCAATTCACAATGAACTTCCAGAATCTCACAAATACCAAGCTGATGCTTACGAAGAAGATGAAGTCGGCACGGTGGCTCCAGAGACTGAAGAGGTCTCCATTCTCAGTACAATTCCAGACCCTGTGCAAGAGCTTGCTGTCCATCTTGAAGAAGTCCTGAATGTGGGAGAAGTTCCAGTGCCTGATGATCTTGATCCTAAGCAAGTTCAGAATCAAAAGGCATCCCGGCCCCAGAAAGAAGATGTAGATATTGCACGTCCTGAAGACATCACTCTCCTTAAGAACAAATCTCAGGCTGACCACATTATAAAGTACAAGTCCTCCTCAAAGTCATTGAAGGGTGATATCTGTTTTCTCCCCTCCATGAAGTGTTGTAAGCTTCCTGCTCCAACTTTGTTACTCATTTTCTTGGTAAAACTAGTTAGGGTACTTGTGGGGTGGTGGTGGTTGTTAGGAGGTCATCATATTCCCCATATTCTGGGTGGTGTTGTCCATTTTCTTTGAGCATGGGGTGCTACCTCACTCTTTCTGTTCCCTAACCCAGTTCTTTTTCTACCTGCTACAGTGATCCTAGATTTAAAGATCTGTGTCTTTATTGTCGGGCTGCTATTTTCTTATATAGCAAATGGAGATAATCATTCTTTTCCTACTTTTTTGTCTCATACTGTATTTGAAACTCAAATCTAAGTCTTAGTGCCTTGGTGCTATGCGAAGTGTGACATGTAGAAACATAAGAAGTTAACATTATTACTATTTTCCAGGTTCCTCTGAGGAGCCCGCTGTGCCTCCCGGCACTGCCCGTTCCCATGACGATGAGGAAGGAGCGGGTAACCCTCCCATTCCGGAGCAAGACCGCCCATTGCTCCGTGTGCCCCGGGAGAAGGAGGCCAAAACTGGCATCGGCTACTTCTTTCCTTAGATGTTTTTCCTCTATAAGGTGCCGGACAGGGGAAAAGGGTGGGGGTAGACCTGGGATGTCACAGGAAACATTAAGGAGAACCCTGAGGATAAAGATCTGTGGGAAAGAAGGAGTTCCACCTGATGGCTCGGGTCAGGATGAGAATTCCAAATACACTGCCAGCCCCTTCACTGGGAATGCTTGGTCTCTTCAGCTGGTAAAAGCAGAGATGTTTCTGTGTCATGCCCAGGCTCCCTGGTGCTACCTTGCCTTCTCTTTTACCCCTGATCCTGGCTTTCCCTAACAACAGCCCTTCCTTTAATTGATGTTCCATTTGTGGTAAACACCCGTCCCAGAGAAGCTCACAAATCTCGAGGTGCTTTCCCTCCCCCAAAGGGGATTGCATGTTTTTCCTCACTTTCCTACCCTCCTTCAAGAGCTCAACTGGAAAGGCCCTCAAGAGGCATGCTAGAACGTTAGGTCAGCCTACTGACTGCTGACAAACAATTAATGCTAAACCATGTCACACCAACTCATAGCCGTGTCCCCGCAGCAACTCTGCCACCTCAGGATTTTTTTTCTCCCTTTTCCAAATTATTTAGACCGAGGGCTCGTCCAACAGCCACTCCCAAAATTCTGCGCAGTTTTGCTCAGGTCACGCCAACTGGGAAACCTCAAGTGTAAGCCTGACTATCCTTTCTGGGATCAAAAGTTAGAGGACAAATTAGACTTTAGTACCTGGATCTGTTTTAAAGACAGCTGGAGTTCACACCTGGTTGTCAGCAAAACAGCTATTTAGGTACAAACACATAGTTCCAAGTAGATAAATCATCTGATTACAAATGTTCTTATCTATCGTCTCTGTAGTTCCTCTATGCAGGGCGGTACAAATTTGCTTGACATGCTCTGGTAACACACAGATATGGGTTATGTATGACATCCAAATTATAGCTGATATTGATGGGTAACAACTGCTAAGGTACATAGAATGAAGAATGTACTGTATTGAGGGATAGAAATTGATCATACAATGGGTAACAACCGAAGAGCTCGAAGATTTGTGATAGTTAAAACTTCTCTGGCATTTAATCATTAATAAACATCTGTATCGTGATAGCAGCATACTCATGGCTTACTGTGTTTTATTTTCCCCTTTCATACTTTGGAGGTGAGCTGGGAAGCTCTGACTGGAGATCTAAAGGGATATGGGCGAAGGGAATTTAATAAGACGGAGGGGAGAGATGGAATAAAGGGGAGAGTGTGACATAGTATAAAGGGATTGGTGACATGGGAGAAAGGGGGAGAGAGTGACATGGATAAAAGGGAGGGGTGACATGGAATAAAGAAAGGGTTATGTGGAATAAAGAGGGGGATAACATGGGATAAAGAAGAGGGGTGATATGGGATAAAGAAGGAGGATGCCATGGGATAAAGAAGAATGATGGCATGGGATGAAGAGGAAAGGGTGGTATAAAGGAGAGGGGGAGACATGGGATAAAGGGAGGGTCATGTGGAATAAAAAGGAGTGACAGCGGATAAAGAAGAGGGTTGAAATGCGAAGTACAAGTTGTCATGTTGAAAACGAGCTTTACAACGTTGGTGCGGGGTGGGGGAGGGGGGAGGATTGGGTGGGGGG